TTTTCAGTGTATGATTAAGTTTAGATCCAATGCATTACATCTCTGAACTCCATGTTAGTCATATAGTATTCTGTTATATGCCGAGTCTTCGCCCATTTTCTTCTTCCACTTACCTCACCTCTCAGGGAAAACGAAACAAAAGAGAACATATCTTTGTTCCATATCTAGCCTTAGACTTCCATTCTCCCATCACTTGAAAATTCGAAGGTGCATATAAACAATCAGTGCAAATCAACACATTGTTGATAATATTTCTAATTTTGTGTGTTTCACTTTATAGCTCTCTGGCAAAATGATCCTGAATGAAAGGGAAAATATTTCAAGAACAGGGGTGACGGAATTTGTGTTGCTTGGTTTTTCTAGCCTTCAGACAATGCAGTTTCCACTATTCTGCCTCTTCTTGACCATATATATCTTATCAGTTACTGGCAACACTCTGGTCATCCTCATGATTCGCCTTGATTCCCGCCTCCATACTCCCATGTACTACTTTCTCAGCAACCTGGCCTGGCTAGAGATGATAATCACTACCACAGTCACTCCCAAGATGCTCAGTCTCCTCATCTCAGAGAAAAAGACTATCTCCTTCTTTGGATGTGCTGTCCAGGTGACACTGTATTTCCTTAGTGGAACCACTGAGGTGCTTTTACTGGGAGCCATGTCAATAGACCGCTACTTGGCCATTTGCAACCCACTGCGCTACACGGCCATCATGAGCAACCAGATGTGCATGTTGCTGATGTTCTTCTGCTGGTTGGGAAGCTTCTTCTGTGTGGCAATTAGCGCTGTTTTCAAGGTTGGGCTGCCATATTGTGGCCCTAATGTCATTGATCATTTCTTCTGTGACACAGGGCCCTTAATAAAGCTGGTCTGTGCAGACACCACCCGGGTGCAGAAGGTAGAGTTGATCTCATCCTGTTTTACTCTGCTGAGCTCTGTTTCCGTAACTGTTGCCTCCTACTTGTGCATCATGGTCACTGTGATGAGGATGCCCTCAGTTCAAGGTAGAAAGAAAGCTGTCAGTACATTCAGCTCTCACATCACTGTTGCTTCACTCTATTATGGCAGCTCTATATTCATCTACGTTCGGCCAATTGACAGCTCTCCCACAGACTTGAATAAGATGGCCACAGTGTTCAACTCTGTGGTAACCCCTTTACTCAATCCAATTTTCTATAGCTATAGAAACCAGGTGGTTAAGGATGTCCTGAAAGATACGATGAAGAGGATTGGTTCTACATTAGGGAAGCCCATTGATTAAGCCAGTAGTTCTCAAACCTGGATCCCCATTAACATTCCCTCTAAGCTGCTCAAAGATACGATGAAGAGGATTGGTTCTACACTAGGGAAGCCCATTGATTAAGCCAGTGGTTCTCAAACTTGGGTCCCCATTAACATTCCCTCTAAGCTGGTTGGACACACAGCACTGCATCAGGGCCATGCAACTGCAACCAGTATTGCCACTCATTTAGTTCTGGTTGTGATCTGAACCCCGCATGTGTAGGGGTGGGCCCCCACTCAGTGCTAGCAAAAAATTAGAGGCAACATTGCTCCATAGATGTTCTTGGACTGTAACTCTCAGAAATCCTGACCAGCATAGCTAGTGGTGAAATCTTCTGAGAGTTTTAGTCCAAGAACATCTGGAGACCCAAAACTGGGAGCCACTGAATTAAGCATTTCCTTTCTTAAATATATTGTATTTTTGCTCCTTGTACACCCTTGGACATAACAGGGTAACTTTTCCCTTTCTAACCTAAATACATTCTTTTGCCACCAGTACCAGACAGATATGCTCTGGCGTTTTTCCCATATATTGTCAACTGTGCTATGTGATCATAAACGCAGATACCACTAATAATTATTATGGAGAGTAAGCAGTGCCAAAAAGTAAGATGAATGCAACAGAGAAGTGATGAGTTTTTGATAGAGTTAAAACACAAAGAAATTAGACAAGTGCTCAGCCTGAGAAGAGGATGAAAACCTAATTTAACTGCAGAAAATTAGAAAAAGCAGGTGAATAATAGCTAAAATTCTGAAGTCCAACAAAAGATTCAGCTAAGAAATTTATTATGGTGTGGAATCTCAGCCCTTCCTTGTGCATGTTTTCAAAAAAGATCGAGATAATTTAGGCATAAGATACCTTTACACATAATGTGAGCATATTCTAAATGAGCTGTTGGGTGACAGCTTGCTTCACAATCTAAATACTGTATGCCTACAAGTTCACAAGAAGTAGAACTATGTTGGTCAGAAATTATAAAACAACAAGAGCAACAACAACAACAAAAACTAGTAAAAACTAGTTACACGATATTCTAAGCTCCAGGAGCTGAATAAAAGGAAAAGGCAAAGGTTTTCATTTAATCCTGAAACTGGATACGCTTTTCAAATTATTTTAACACATAAATGATAAAGTGAAGGACATCTTCTGTGGTCTAAATTGCATTGAGCTTTAGCAGATGCGCAGTCTCATTTTTCTGAATTTTAATTGTATCTGTTACTCCAACAGTGATTGCTCTCATGCTGTTTGTGAGGGTTTTATGTCCTGATGGGGCTACACAATATTCTCTACAAATGTAAGGTTCAATGGCCTGTGAAATTTAAATTGTAAAGAAATTTCCTTTGTATTAATAAAGAACTAACAAATTATCTTTAAAAAAATAGAAAATTAAAACCTGTAATCAATCAACTGCACCAATAATATTTCATGAAGTGCAGTTTGTTTTTCCCAGCAAAGAAATAAATGTAACTTAGTTTTGCACAAAATCATTCTAAATATACTGTATTTTTTGCACCATAAGACTCACTTTTTCCCCACAAAACAGGGGTGTGGAAAGTCTGTGCGTCTTATGGAGAGAAGAAAACAGATTATATTTTCCTGTTTTCTTCTCCTAAAAAATTGGTGCGTCTTATGGAAAGGTGCGCTTTCTTACTTGTATATACAATTATGACATTATGAAATATCTGTGCATTCCCCCCCCTATTTAGACAATTTCAGTTTCTTGGCAAGTACTTGGCAAGGCATCTGCATTAACCATAATGTGCAATATTAACTCCCAAACCCCTTATTTTTATGAAAGTTTTTAAAAATCAACACTTAAGGATGCAGAAAAGTTTATATTTTTATTTCTTCATCCAGGACCAATGCACCAAAATGTATTTATCAATTCACTGGACCACTATATGCAGAGGTATATTCCTCAACACTTAAGGATGCAGAAAAGTTTATATTTTCTTCATCCAGGACCAACGCACCAAAATGTATTTATCAATTCACCGGACCACTATATGCAGAGGTATATTCTTTTTTCTTGTTGTTTCTTGAGCAGAAACAACAACGGGAACAGGATGAGCCTTTCTATGCAGTTATAAAAGCAAAGATCTGTCTTGACTTATTCTCTTTGTGGCCTTTGCTAGAAGTGGACATACATTCAGATCTCAAGCATATGCCCATGCCATCTGGAACTAGAATAAGGAGTAAATCTCATTAAGGCTTGTTGGGTACCAATTTTGTGAAGAAGGGATAGAATTAATAATATTAGATAGATGTCGATGCGGTTAGTTAGGATAAGACCAGGCAAGGGGATGCACTGCTAGGGAACAAAGAGGATTGCTGACAAAGACACTCAACTTGTGCAAGAAAAGTGACCCAAGGACAGAGTGTTCCATGCAGAAAAGAAACTCAACAGGTGTTCAAACCAAAAAGTGCACGAGAAGGGATGTGATTTACTGAGTGCTGAGAAAGTGACCCAAGGACAGAGTGTTCCATGTACAGAAGAAACCCTTAACAGGTGTTCGAACCAAAAAGTGCACGAGAAGGGATATGATTTACTGAGTGCTCAGAATTAAGCTAGATAGCATTAGAAATCCAATTTGGTCTCAGTGGCATTTTCTCTGATTCACCACCCCCTAAGAAGCTGTAAAGAACCTTAAGGAATTTGTAACACTAATTCAGGCGGTTTTACTTCAGTGCTTTTGCAGATTGAAAAAGTGTGCATTAGCAGATTTCCCCCCCGCTCTTTTTAAATTATCTACCAGCTTGGAAATTTTTGGGGTTTGTGTCCCCATGGAATTAATTACATTCATACAATTGTAATGTGTTCAGCCATTCTTCCCCACATGGAAGGGAACCAACACCACAAAGAAATACAGAAGTTATGCATCAGTGTATTATTTTTTTAATGTTCCAACAATCATTGTCCGCCTATGACAATATTGCAACCATATAACAGCAGATCACAAGGGCCACATTTTGCTTATTTCTGTACGTTACTGCTGACTTCTTTTGGGTTATTCTAGAATAATTGTAGATAGATTCTCCATAGTTAAGAGCTACAAGCAGCACTTCATGATAGGTGGCTGGATCTTTAAGCTGTTGGGTTTTTCCCTTCTGTTTCAGATAAGGATGTTTAGTACTTCCTTGTGAAAACAGGGGTCCTGTTCATTACAGTGGGTCTGTCTGTGGCTTGCATGAAGGTCACTTCTGGTGTGAGAGAATACTAGACCAAATACAGTGGTGCCCTGCATAGCAATGTTAATCTGTTCCAGGAAAAATGTCGCTATCCGGAAACGTCGCTATGCAGGGGGGAAAACCCCATAGGAATGCATTAAACTCAGTTTAATGCATTCCTATGGGGACAAAACTCACAGGTAAGCGAAGATTCCCCATCCGGCTGCCATTTTTGCTGCCTCGGTAAGTGAGGGCAGGGTGCGAAAACGGAGCAGGCAGCCATTTTCTTCTTCCGGCGGCCATTTTGGATCCGCCAATCAGCTGTTCTGCAAACATCGCAATGCGAAGATCGGTAAGCGAAATGCTTACTGATCATCACAATGCGATGTTTTGCCACCTAAAACATCATAATGCGATCGCATTAGCGATCGCAAAAAACACGTCGCTATGCGGATTCGTCGTTAAATGGTGCGCTCGTTAAGCAAGGCACCACTGTAATTTACTTTTTACCTTAGAGAGTTCATTGGCTCTTCACTTCTTAATAGAAGGGCTAATGATTTCTTTTCTCTCCTGAAAGCTTCCTTGAATTCAAGTCAGGTCTCAGAACGATAATGTAACATTTTGGAAGAAAAATGCAAGCCAACAGACCAGTGTTGGAAGCCAAGATGGCAAAAACCTCAATGGCTATGACGTATTTGCCCTTGGTGCTCAAATAAGCTGGAATGAAGGAGATCCAAACACTGCAAAACACCAGCATGCTGAAGGTGATCAGCTTGGCTTCATTAAAAGTGTCCGGCAATTTTCTAGCTAGAAAAGCCACCATGAAGCTGACGATTGCCAGAAAACCTATGTAGCTGAGGACACTGTAGAACATGGTTAGAGACCCTTCGTTGCATTCCAGTATGATTTGTCCAGCCAGAGAGTACATATCAGCCTCGGGGAACGGAGGGGAAGTGAACAGCCATGTCAGACAAATGCATACCTGAACAAGGGAACAGGAAAGAACAATGGCATTGGCCACATTTTGTCCCAGCCAATTTCTCATCTTGTGGCTAGGCTTTGAAGCCAGGAAGGCCAAAATGACAAGGGTGGTTTTTGCCAAAACACACGAAACGGCAACTGAGAAAATGATGCCAAAGGCATTTTGTCGGAGAAGGCAGGTCAACCTCCCAGGTTTGCCCATGAAGAGGAAGGAGGAAATGTAGCAGAGCAAGAGGGAGCTGAGAAGAACGCAGGTGAGGATCCGATTGTTGGCCTTGACAATGGGGGTGTTCCAGTTCTTTAGAAAGGTTTGTATCACCAGGCATGTGACCACAGCAAAGAAAACAGCAAGAGAAATTAAAATCACCCCTAAGGGTTCCTGGCAAGACAGGAAAGTTATAACCTTGGGAATACATAGATCTTTGTTCCTGTTTGAATATTGATCTTCAGGGCATCTGATACAGTGATCGGCATCTGAAAGTGATAAACAGTGCTTTTAAATGTTTATTGTTCATATTGTACTCTTTGTTTTAGGTGGAAATTGGGATTTTTTTTACAGATTAAGCATTAATTTAGCTGATTAAACTTCTTCAGCCTTTTACATTTTTGCATTAATGGCCTTTTCAGCTCCTGAATGACAGTATTGTATGCCATTTCTCCAAACAAACACGGAATTAGGCAGAATTTGACTGAAGTGTGCCTAATTTCTTATGGGCCATTACCTAAAAATATCTTTAAGACCAGAATATTTCATTTGAAATTTCAGTTATATCTGAATTGATGGAATTGCATTGTTCAGAATCAGAACTCAGGCTCCATTTCCATACAAGTTAAACGATTTACAGTCAGCTTATAACAACTGTCCAAATGCAATATAAAAAAATATTCCCCACCATCTAGCAATTCATCAGTTTCAAGCTTTGTAGAGCATATATGTAGGACTGGTTTTATAGGTATATAACTTTGATGGTCACCAGGGCACCAAGCTGAGACAGGAGAGGCAGCTTTAAGCAAAGGTGAGAGGGATGTCAAGCTAAGAGCCTGTCTACATTTTAAAAAGCAGGCAAACAAACAAACAAACAGAAACCAAAAAACCTATAATATGTAATGTTTTAATTTTAAATCTTTTAGGTGGAAATTGGGATTTTTTTTACAGATTAAGCGTTTAACGACGAATCCGCATAGCTATCTATTTTTTTAGATTGCTAATGCGATCACATTGCGATGTTTTAATAGCCTAAACATCGCATTGCAATGATCGGTAAGCGTTTCGCTTACCGATCTTCGCATTGCGATGATCGGGAAACAGCTGATCGGCGGTTCCAAAATGGCCACCCGGTGCCCAAAATGGCCGCCACAACGAAGTTTAATCCGTTCCTATGGGGTTTTTAGTTCCGTTTAGCGATGTTTCAGGATAGCGACGATTAATCCGGAACGGATTATCGTCATTATCCGGGGCACCACTGTAACTTGGTTTTTGAGCTGTCTCCTGCATTCCTACTTCTTCTGCTAATATATAGATTACGTTTTCCACAAAAGAAGGGGAGGGACTATCATTAGAGCTCCACCTGGTGGTCTTCAATCAGGTACACATTAAGAAGCTCCCTTTTAAAGCCAAGCTGTTAAGATCACAATTGGCTAAAATGGTTAAGAAAACAGTGTGCTAAAATAAACCTCCTTCTGATGGCTGTTATTTTTAATTCACTTCCTAAGGAAATGAAACAAATTGGGGGGAAATTATGCACTTTGGAATTCATTGTGTGAACGTGAAACTCACCACTGGTTCTTAACATGGGTCAAAACCCATCCTTGTGCATACCAGTTTTTGTCACAAGAATATTGTAGAAAAAAACCTCTAAATGACACACCAGCCAAAATCCTGTTGATTAACATAGTAAATTTCACTATGGTAGACCCACTAAATCAATGGGGATTTAGTGTAGTTAGTATGTCTTAGGTTCCATTGATTCAAATGCTTCTACTCTAACTGCAGCTTACTATGCTAGAATGATTATGATTAGGTGGCAGGAGGAAGGGGATGGTGCAGTGACACGAGGAGCAATGTATATATATAAAAAACCTGGAGCCCCAGATCTTTGCCAGTAATGCTGTTTCTTTCTTTTTTGGTGTCATTACTCTTGTGCTAGGTCACTTAGAGACACAGAGAGGGAGAGGGAAAGGGAGAGGGAGAGGGAAGGAATGTGAAGAGGAAATTGCCACTCAGCTCTTGCTTACAGCTTATATCCTATAGTTCTGCCTCCTACAAATCTGGAAGGCTATAGAAGAGATGTTAAACAAGCTGCAAACAATGTTGCTTGCCAGTTTCTCCCTCTCTTTCTCCTGATTTCTTGTGTGGCCAGTTGAAGGAAATTTCCCTAGAGAAACCAGACTTCCCAGGTGTGACTTCTCAGCAGATCAACTCACATTTTTTCTTGCTGTGTAGTTGCACCCAAAGTTGCATAAACCCCCAAATTGAAAAGAAAGTCTTTATGCCATGAATGATGATTACACCACTTGTGGCAATTTTTAGCATTCAAAGACTTCCTTTTTCTTTCTGACATCTCCCACGCTTTCCTAAAGATGAGAGCGGTTACACATGAGCCATGTGAGGAATGTAACAGATGTAAGAAATGATTAATGTCAAAAAACACGCACAACCACTGATGACGCAACTTACCTGTCTGGTTAGAAATCATGTTTTCTGGGCAGAGAGTACAGTTATAACAACAAAATGGTTTCCCCTCCCTAACTGTCTTGCTGTATCCATGCTGACAACTCTTGACACACACTGAGAGAGGCAATGTCTAAATAAGAAAAACATACATGGGAATATATGGAATTTATTTTGAGAACTCACATTGAATGTTATGAATCTGTGCTGAATCTGTGCTTTGGAATATCAAGAAAATTGTTACAAAAATGTAGTGCCTATGAGTTTTTATCCTTGCTATTTCTGTTCTATTTTCTTCCACATTCAAATTTCTAAAGCTCTTATAGTGTTTCGGTCTGAAATATGAAAACACATGCAAACCATGGCAGTTTTTAAAATTAAGAACGCAATTTGAAACAAAAATCTCAGTTGTCCATATGCCTATCTTAGAGTCATCACCAACTTTCTGAAGTATATTAGTGGATTAACTCACTTTCAGTTCCTTTCTGCATTCTTCATGCTGTGTGATCACAGAATAACAGAATTGTAGGGTTCCAATGGAACCCAGAAGTCACCAACTACAAGTTTCCTGATGAAGAAGGAAATCTGCAGCTAAATCCAATGGAACCCAGAAGTCACCAACTACACGTTTCCTTATGAAGAAGGAAATCTGCAGCTAAAGTATCCTTGACTAATAGCCGGGCTGCCTTCCATGGCTGACGAGCCCCACCTACCCGGCCTGCTCTTTAATAGTGCAAAAGTATGATCTGATCCTTAAAACTTTCCTAACTCCCAGGCTTATGCAAATCTAATTGGCTTTCCTATTTACCATATTAAGGCCAGACATACAATTTGAGACACACTCTTTTAAAGCAGGAAGTCCCACCCCTAGGCCCCACCCCCAGGCCATGTGGTCAGGAGACAAAAAGAATGCCCAGGAAAAAAAACTCAGCAAGGCATCCATGCAAACAGACCTGGCCTTCGCCCTCAGCCCAGCTTCCTAGGGAAAAGGGTCCCTAGGAAGCTAAAGTATCCCTGACAAACGGCTATCCAATCTCAGTCTAAAAATCTCCAATGTAAATGAGTCTACAACCTTTAAAGGTAGTCCGTTCCACTGTCAACAGTGCTTATGTTCAGGAGGCTTTCCTTAATGTCTACTGAGGAATAAGTCTGTAGAAACTCTAATTCCAATGGAAAAGCATGAGTTTGATCAGGTTAACACACTGAAATGAATGGGTCTTAGTTTAGTAATGATGAACTTCCCATTGACATCAGTGCTTCTACTCTAAGTCTGATGGAGTCTCAGTAAATCCCAGCATTTTAAATAGCAATGGAAGCAAATATGTATAATTAAGTTTTCAATGGGGAATTCATTGGCAGAGGCAACAGTTCTCCAACAGCATTCAAAGGATCAGCATAAACAAGGTTCTCCAACAGCCATGCTATGACCTCTGGATGGCCTACTTTTCACTGAGCTCACATTTTAAGACACCCTGTTCATTCTTACCTGGTTAAATCTATTGTTCCACTTAATGACATCCTCCCTGATCAAGAACTCTTGGGTTGATGAAATCTTTCCAACTTTCGCTTTAATGAAGGATAGATTAGGGGAAATGATCCAATTGACAATATCGTACCCACCGGCCAACAATTTACCATTCACATACTGGACTTCATGCCCAGCACCATTGTTGAAACAGATGTTCCTGAGGGTAGAGTGGAGCTAGATCGAGAGAGAATATAGCAAAATTTACAAAATGGCATCTAGTTCCTAAGTGTTCTCATTATGTTTGTGCAGAATCTTCTAGATGCAGCATTTGTTCTGGCTGAAGATCTCAGTCTGCAAGTCAAACCTAAATTTTGCGGCCAGAGAAGTCTATAACTCAAAAAGTCTGTAAGTCAAGCCGTCTGTAAGTCAAGGGTCCACTGTAGATGCAGCATTTGTTCTGGCTGAAAAACTAGTTTGTGAATTGCTCTTAGTGAAAATTTCCCCAACATTCAGAAAACAATTCTTTAATTTTATGTTGGGCTCCTTGGTATAATTTCTACCCCCCTGTGAGTTTCACCATCTCCCTCCCCAATGCAAGCTTTATTTTTGTACCATTATGAAGTGAGGCACTGGTGGTAAAATCTGGTGCTCTGGCACTTTCCAAGCATTTGAGTGACAACACGTTATAAACCCCAGGGAAGAACAGCCAACAAAGCACATGGAAGCACACTTCAACAACAGGAAAAACAACAGCAACAGACTATTTGTTTGAACATGAATTCAGATGGAGTTTAAATAGCACTCCACTCTTAATTATGTTAAAGATGATAAGTGTGAGCTAAGTACCACAGAAAAACAGCCGAGTTTCGTGGCACCTTAAAGACAGCATCTCCAGATGTTATTGGCCTGCAGCTTCCATAAGCCTTAGCCAGCATAATCAATGATAATTACAGAGCACATCTACTGAGTTACGCTTTCCCTACCCACCTTACATATGATGAACCAGACTTCCTACATCCTAAGAGCAAAGAAAGGAATAATCTGAAAGTCCATCGTGTTAGTTGGCAAGCAAAAACAAGAGAAGAAAACTGAATACTGAGTCTTCTCAGAAATATTAGTGTAAATCTATTAATTTTTTTGTCCAAGCATTTGAGTGACAACACGTTATAAACCCCAGGGAAGAACAGCCAACAAAGCACATGGAAGCACACTTCAACAACAGGAAAAACAACAGCAACAGACTATTTGTTTGGACATGAATTCAGTTGGAGTTTAAATAGCACTCCACTCTTAATTACGTTAAAGATAAGTGTGAGCTAAGTACCACAGAAAAACAGCCGAGTTTCGTGGCACCTTAAAGACAGCATCTCCAGATGTTATTGGCCTGCAGCTTCCATAAGCCTTAGCCAGCATAATCAATGATAATTACAGAGCACATCTACTGAGTTACGCTTTCCCTACCCACCTTACATATGATGAACCAGACTTCCTACATCCTAAGAGCAAAGAAATGAATAATCTGAAACTCCATCATGTTAGGAGTTGGAAAGCAAAAACAAGAGAAGAATACTGAGTCTTCTCAGACATTTTAGTGTACATTTATTTATTTTTTGTCACGTGGTTTTTTTTCAGTTCTTAACTCAAATCTAAGTACTTAAGTCAAGTCAATATTTTCCTATGAGAGCGGTTCTTAAGTCAAAATGTTCTTAACTCAAGCCGTTCTTAAGTCAAGACCCCACTGTATTAGGATCTCCAAAATGTCATCTTATAATCATACATTTTTACCCCTCAAACATAATTCAACTCACATGGAGGGTCAAACACATTTTACTTTAATTGCATGGCTAGTCCCAGAAAGAGAAAGAAGAATCATGCATGCATGCATGCATGCATGTAAATACTGCATTGTGTGTGCGTGTCTGTATTTGGGTTTTATATTAGGATCTCAAAAATGTTTTCTTATAATCATACATTTTTACCCCTCAAGCATAATTCAACTCAAGCATAATTCAACTCAAACACATTTTACTTTAATTGCATGGTTAGTCCCAGAAAGAGAAAGAATAACTAACTCTTTGCTCCCTCATTATAATGCTAATGAATTCAGTCAGAACAGATTATAAGGTCCAGGACATCTTCCCTGAGATAAAGAATGCAATAAGCAACAAAAATTTATATTTGGCTTTGAGAATATGCCTTGTTCATTGCTAAATTCTTGGTTCTCTTGTAGGGCATGGGACTTTAACATTGGCTCGTATATATGAAAAAGAAGCATCTGAAATGTGGGTGTATCACACGATGCTAAGATTTTCTGGATTGAGAGGTTGACCAGTAATGAAATACTAAGACGGATGAAGAAATAGCAATACAAAAATAAAAATAAAAATAAAATGCAGAAATTACGTTGGTCACTTAATGAGAAATAAAAACAAATACAGACTATTGTAGCTGTTTGTTCAAGGTAAAATAAATGGGGAAGGAGCTTCATCAGTAAAGAGAGACAGAGCGATACCTGTGAAATCTTCGACTCCTAAGAATAACTGCAGTTTAGGAGACGTGAGGGAGGTTTGTTACAATCATGAGTGAAAGAAGAAGGATTAAAACTTAGGAATTCATAAGAAAGATGCCATCACCTGCCATGGCTGAACATTCAACTCCAAGAATTTCCTTCGATCTCGCACTGCTTTTTGCCTTGGAATGTATAATGCTTGTGCTACGGCATACACTGCATTGTAGATACTGTAGCTCTCTCCTGTAAGTTCCATCTCAAGCACATGTCCAGGCAAACTCTCCAGCTTCTCCTCACCTGTACAGGTCCGGCATGTTATACACTTTTTATAGAATTCGCTCAGAAGCTGACAATGGAATGCATCTTGCCAGAACACAGAGAGGAAATCCATCAGTGTTTCCTCAGGCTGTAAGGTCCAGAGAAACTCCTGGAATTTGGGCACCTCATCCATGTGGATGAAGAAAGAAAAAGCACCATGGAAGGTTTTTGTAGAGAATCCATTGCTACTGAGTGTATTGGTGACATCCCACTGTGGTGGCAGGATCCAGACCTTCCCTATGTAGGCTTTTCTGCGAAACTCATATACCTCTAAGAACAGTATTAAAGAATTCAGAGACTGAGAGGTCCCACTGATTATAATCACATTGACTTTAGCTGAAACAAGTACTCTTTTTAATTGCAAAAGTGGTTTTCCAAAGGAAAGCTGCGATGAACGGTAATTCATTGCCTCAATCTTTTCTGTGAAAGCAGCACAAATACTTTTTTCGGTCAGCAGAGGTGTCAGGCTCTGAACAAAGCTCTCTCCATCATCATCATCGGAAACAATGAGGCCAACCCATGTCCATCTAAAGTGTAGAAGTAACTGGACTATCCCTATGTGTTGGACCGTTTCCTCTGGTGACATCCAGTACAAAGCAGGGAAGTGCATTTTCCCATTTCTTATAGTCTGAGATGCTCCATAGATGAGCTAATGGGGATAAAGTGGCTTATTAGAATTAGGAACAATAAATTCTAGTGTCTTATATCGTGTGTATTTCTAGCAGTATTTAACAATATCTTATCCTTATGTGCAATTATTTGTTCTTAAGACAATGTGTTTTTTTTAAAGAAGTAAGGGTTTGAGGATGTAACTGAAAATGTCATGTGACGGTAATGAAAGACTTTGTGACCACAAAATATCTACATGCTCTCATACCTGGGGAATCTTGTAAGTGCTCAAGACGGTGGCCATTGCTGTAGAGGTTTTCATGGAGAGCCCCCCAATGACTGATAGTATGTTCTTTCTCCTATCACACTTGTAATTAGGTGTATGGATTTGATGTGTGAATAATAGATCCATGATCATCTCATATGTCCTTCCTGAATCAAAGAGGTCATCATAGATGCAGCATCCCAGAGTCAGGTTGGGCAACAGACTGGGATTCTTATTGATCTCTTTGATGGCAAATAGCAAGGAGAGGACATGCTGATAGTTTTTATGAGCCACACTGCAACGGAAGAGAGAATTGTCAGAAAAATTATAGAAGGAATAACATCTAGTTCATGATGTCAAATCTGCATAGACTCAAAACCAACCAAGTTATTTTGGTAGGAGAATTCTGCATTTGCCTCTCCCAACGCTTGGCCGGAAAAAGAAAAGAATAATGCTCTACTATTAACACATTCCTTTCTTTTTATGACTCCACAATGCCCAAAGTAGGCACTTGCATATTCTTTATGAAAGAATGAGCTGTGGGGTCATAGTCAGCAGCACCCTAGATGAAAAAGGGTCATGATTTTTAAAGCTCCCTAAGAAGGAGAAAGGAAGGTTAGGATCATCAAGGAAGTAATTGTTGGGGGGGATCTGGGTGCATCATGTTGATGTACAGTAGGAATGAGAAGAAAAAGTGGGAGTAGTTGAGATGTTCATAGATTTTGTACATGATCTAATCAGAGACATGAAACAACTGCAACAACAAAAATGTTTGTCGTCCTCTCTAGAAGAGCAAGTGGAATTCTGTCATGTTTACTAGGGCCCTGAATATAGTGCCACAGCTTTCTATGGGATTTTTTTGTCTTTTTTTCTCCCTTTGATTTCTTGGTCAGCAAAATATCATCAGTTTCTTCCTGAGAAATCATGTGCATAATTCTTTAGACATTGCCCTGCTAGCAGAGCATGCCCTGCCCTGCTTCAACGCATCAGTCATTGTACACGTTTGATAGGCTAAAAAAGGCAAAACTTTGTAAACTTAGAATTTATGCTTTGGTTCAAATCCAAATGTAGAAATTTGAATTTTCATTATACATGAAGGCTAGTGAGAAATGCCCATTGTCAATGTCCTTAATTGATATAGCTTCTGACAATTTTCAACTACTCTCTGTCAAATAGATCCATGATTACTGAGGGACAAGAACTTAAATTTTTCACCTGAATTTTCTTTAAAGCTAGTCAGGTAAATATTAGGATATATTAAAGAGAAGATGCCACCAATGGCTTGTAAAACTTGTTTTGTTATGGAAAGAGCTTTTGACACTCCTAAATAAACACCTAAATAAATCTTATTTACTACTAAATTGGGAATCTCATGAAAAGGACAAAAGCTGATCCCACAGCTATAAATACTCAACTATCCAAACAAACTTTACCAGAACACAGACAGAGTTCTGACTCCTGTCCCATGAAGATGCTGGCCACAGAGACTGGCGAAACGTTAGGAAGAACAACCTTCAGAACACGGCCAAAGAGCCTGAAAAACCCACAACCATACACATAAAAATCTATAAATCAACAGATAAAAATATAATTTTTCATTATACATGAGGGCTAATGAGAATTGCCCATTGTCCAATGCCCTCAACTTATATAATTTTTATTTTAACTAAACTCTGTCCAATAGATCCGGTCATTTCGACCACTCTAGGCGGCTAGACAGTTTTTAACTAAACTCTTTCCAATAGATCCATTATTGCTAAAGAAGAAGAACTTACCTATACACTTTAAATTTTCCATCTGGATTTTCTCTAAAGCTGTTCAGGTAAATATTAGGATGTATTAAAGAAAAGATGCCACCAATGACAGCTCCACCAGGCTTGTAAAATTTGTTTTGGATATGTCTATTGTTATGGAAAGAGCATTTGGCAGTCCTGTCATGAGATACAAGAGGAGGGAGCAAGGACAGAAGAACTAACAGCCACAGGATTGTAATGCATGTCAACATTTCATAAACATGAGTTCCTAGCTGTCCTCACTACTATACTGATCTCCACAGCAAGCACAGGACAAAGGCTGTGAAATACACTGTCCAGGAATAAATAGTTTTACCTCAAATTTTCTGTGGGGACAATCTGAGCTCAAAATTCAACTAGTTATATTTTTAATCTAGACATTGTTGTAGCTATTGTCTCTAAGTGAAGGGAAATTAATAACAGTAATTTAGATAATGACAGCATAGAGAAAGGTACTGTCTGTCTGATGACACACATTCTGTTCTCAAAAACATGTTTGTTCAGTCCTATCCAAGTTTTTTCTTTCTCCTCGATAAATTGGCAGCTTGCAAAAGTTTCTCCGTATTGTGTCACTCAGGTGTGGGATTGATTCTGGCTTCTTGAATAGGAAACGGGTTCTTTCAGATGCTGGAAAAGAGGAAATCCATTCATATCATTCGCTCAGGGCACATAACCACAGGTCCTCTTACTGGATGATACAACGTATAGTTCTTTGGTACAGCCCTTTGCATGTAATTATCCTTCAACCATTAAGTGTTTGGCTCAGAAAAAGACTTTCAGGTATCCATACTAGGAAGCCATGTGAAATTGGCTGAAAATGCTTTCCTTAGCCACTCCGATTTGTCCAAATGCTCACCATTTTAGCCTTCAGATTACCATTACCTATCACAATCACACTGATCCAAATTTAAGAAGGAAGTAACTATTCATAGCATTGTAGTGGGATGGGTGAGGTTGATCTGTTCTCAGGAAATGGATTTCATTCCAGGATCAACCTGGTAAGTTGAAAAATTATAAGGATGGAGAGATAACTCAAGCCCCTTCCTTTTATTGAAGTCATCTGTTCATCTGCCAACATTCATTTCCAGTTTCTTCATGGGAAGAGAGGTAGAATTGTCATGGATCAGTGCATCACATCTATTCTTACATCTCTTGTTCTCAAACATAAGACTTCCACATGAGTCAAAGTTCCCAGAATTTGGGTTCTGGTACCTGTCAAAAAGCATCCGGCTACGTAGCTAGGGTATTTCCATTGCACACCCCAATACTGTTTCTTACACGTCTGAATTATACAGGGAAGATGGAGTACCTTTATATGGTGCTATCAGTTATATGTTTCAAAGGCTGTGCTCAAGGGCTGTGGGAACTTCACAGATTGTTCTTTGTGGTTAATGCCAACTATTTAGCCTACAGTTAGTTGTAGTTTAGTTGGCCCTTGGCAAAGTCCTCATCTCTTTAGCAACATCTGTAAAAGGTGAAGAACTGGTAGTTGGGCAGTTATGAAAGAAAAAAAAAGGGGGGGGTAAATACTCTTTGGCTAGTATCTTCCAATAACCTTATTTGCAAATATAAAACCCTATCATTTGCGATGGGGGTGAACTCCAGTGTGCCTTACTGCAAACCATGGATTGATGGATCAAACAACAAAGCCAGAGGATACTGGCAATTAAATGCAGAAAATGAAATAGTAGAGCAATGGTTCCCAACGTTGGGTCCCCAGATGTTCTTGGACTAAAACTCCCAGAAGCCTTCACCACTAGATTTGTCAGCCAAGATTTCTGGGAGTTGGACTCCAAGAACATCTGAGGACCCAAAGTTGGGAAGTACTGTAACAGAAAACAATCCTATACATTCCTTCCTCTTACACAATGCGTTGCAAGAGGTTGGGGAGGTCCAGAGGTTTTTACAGGAATGTATCCCATAGTGCCTTCTTGCTCAAGCTCAGAAATTGTCTAAATTCTCATGTGATAGACCACTGCATGGTGGAAGAAATGAACAGGACTCTGCTTATAAAATATTGCTCAGTATTCCCCCTTTAAGGATCAGTTACAGCTTCCCAGTCCTCTGCTGTTGCTAGCATTTTGCAAAGAGCAAAGCAGGGATGAGCCCAATAGTGCTATTAACTCCACTGCATATTTGTCACCAGCCATGTTAATCTTACATGACTTAGAGGACTAATATCTGAAATGGAGGGGCCTTTTACTTGTTGCTGAGGCTCTTTGCATGTCTTCAGAATGTGCAGATATCTTGAGTTCTAAATTGCTTGGTGAGCCAATACTAGGGGAGTAGACTGGTAGCTTCATATATTCAGTCCTCAGTATATGGTGGGCTATGGGACTGGCGAGGGAGCAAAGAGAAGAGAATGAAAATTGGAAAAGAAAATGTAACAAGAAAGTGAATAAACAGGGGACGTGGTAAAAAGCTCCGCTCTTTCCATCTTTGGCTGCCACAAGCCCAGATAGGCTTAGGAAGTACAGCTCCTCCAGTATGTTGTCTCTCCCGTTCCATTTTCTTCACAAGGTGATTATTTTGGCAAGTTAAAAAAATCTAAATGAATCTAAGTGATCATATTTATTTTATATTTCTGAATGTGACGGAAGCAATCGTACATAATTTGTCCTGTAAAATCAGCCATTAACTGAGTAATGAAGCTGGGATCCAAAGACCAAGTTCATGTTGAGTAACAGAAATAAGGTTTTCAGTTTTGGTCCATTTCTCATCAATTACAGGGATGGTGACTTGAGTTGTGGAACTCTCTGTCAAGTTAAACTTAAGCTGCACCGGTGACTTGACTTGGACTTTGTTTTTTTCAGTGACTAAGACTCAGCTCAGGATGTGGAACCCGCCCACCCTCTTCTGTTTTTCTGGAGAAACGAGCTGATTTTTAATAGGGACTCAGACTTGGTACTAAAAGCTCAGACACGGAACTTGGTACCAAAGACTTGGACGCGGACCCAAAGACTTGCTAACATCCCTGTCAGTAAATAAAGAGCCTCCACCATGAATTTTCACCAAGCCAGTGGGCCCCCAAGAATTGCAATGGGGGAAATCTTTATTTGCTAGTGAGGAACAGACCAAACAGACCAAAACTTACCACTTTGCTCATGATATGCAACAGGATTTCGACCAATATTGTTACATGCTGTCAAGCCAGAAGTGACTTAAGTAGGGTTTTCATTATTTAAGGAGATATTTAAAGAGTGGTTTTACCAGTTCTGCTCCTTCAGTGATTTCTATGGCTGAGTGGGGATTCAAACCCTGGCCTCCAGAGTCTTAGTTCATCACTCTATCCACTACACCACACTGGGTATATTAGTATAAACCAATTGTGTATATTTCTATCCAGCACCTGTTGAATTAGGACTTTGTTCTCCGTACTGTTCAACTGCAAATCACTGGGCACTAAAACCTGATCCTGAGAAGGGTTTTGGGGTCATAAAGGGCTTTAGGTGGACAGAGAAATCATTGGATCTGGTGGACACAGCAGGATATAGCAGATGTATGCCATTGCATCCTTGCCAATGCAATTGCCAACCACGTATTAGTTAGAAAGCTTCCTTTTATAGCCAGTGTATTAGCATCAGTGCTCACTTCTGGCTTTTCACACATCGACCACAGTCTCCCTGTCACTTGTCTAATGGAAGGAAGTCTAAGCTTTCAAAGCAGAACATGTTCTTTCTTTCCAAATATGTTCAGGAATGCTGCCTGCATTTCCTTGTTCCTGAAGCTATAGATCAGAGGGTTTAGCAAAGGAGTGATGACTGTGTACAACAGAGAGATAAAGCGATCCTGTTCTACGGAGTGACTGGAAGAAGGGCGCATGTAGGTGAAGATGGCTGTGCTATAGAAGATGCTCACCACAATAAGGTGGGAGGCACAGGTGGAGAATGCTTTGGTTCTAGTCTGAGCTGAATGGATTTTGAGCACAGCTGAGACAATGAAGACATAGGAGAGGACAATCAAGGACACCGTTATTATGATGATGCTGCCAGAAATGATGAAAGTCACCATCTCAGCAAGGGAGGTATCGGAACAAGAGAGACGCAAGACAGGTGGGATGTCACAAAAGAAATGCACTATTTTGTTGGAATCACAGAAGTCTAGAGAGAAGACAAAGGATGTGTTGATGATGGCATTGAGATTTCCAATGGTCCATGAAGCAGTCAGAAGCCATCTACAGATAGGCTGGCTCATGAGCAAGGTGTAATGCAAGGGGCGGCAGATGGCAGCATAGCGATCATATGCCATAACAGAGAGCAGTGCACCTTCTGTGGCAGCTGTGGTTAGGAAGAAATACATTTGAACCACACAGCCAGAGAAGGAGATGGTCTTGTCACCTGAAAGAAGGTCCCACAACATCTTAGGCATGGTGGTGGTGATGTAGCAGATCTCAGTAAAGGAGAGATTGCGCAGCAAAAAGTACATAGGAGTGTGGAGGTGTGGGTCTACCAGTATGAGGATAATGATAGCCAGATTTCCCACCAAAGTGAACAAATAGATCAACAGCCCTGTAGCGAAGAACAAGGTCTGGAGTTCCAAGTCATCAGTCAGCCCCAGAAGAATGAATTCCTTTAAATTTGTTTGATTCTTTGTTTCCATTTTCTCATCAATTTTCTGTTATAGTAGGCATCAGAACTTGACAGGGGACTTCCTTGGACACATGAAGGGATATACATTCTGGAGATATAGAAAACATGACAGTTTCTAAATAGTGAGAATTATTACATGGACTGGAGCTTAACTTTCTAACCGTGTAGTTATACAACAGGATTTGTTTTCGTTTTTTCAAAGAAACCCCACTATACTATCATGAAGACAAACTCCGTAGACTGTTTTCACAATCAAGATTTGACTAGCAATCACAGATGGTATGTATCTAGACAGACATTTTTCAAAATAGATTGGTCAGTGACATACCTGTGACAAATCTATTTTCCATCCTTTATTCATCAAATACTTTTCAGGAAACATGTCCAGATAAGTCCTACTGTTAGAAGCACAGATACTAAACTTTCAATTTTCTCTTCACTCATATGTCTTATATCAACTGGATACATTTTGGTACAGTATCATCTGGTTCAGGTTATTGATTGAATTTGCTATGCTTGGAACTGGATGATCAGAGAGGTTGAAATGAAACTAAAACTTCCATATTGCTTATACCTATTGGTAATAATTCTGAGTGCTAGTTAGCACATTAGCATTAGCACATTGGATGCTTTTCAGCATAAGACATTCCGGTGCCCCGTTGCTACACAGGATGCAAATTGTGACATTTCTTTGTTAGTCTCCACACTCATCCTCTGTCTCTTCCAATGATTTATCTGCTCTATTCTTTTCTCCGTCCTCTGGATATTGGCATTAGCCTGCTTGCTTGGAACATGCACAGTCTACTATGTTTTCAAACACATTACATGAACATCTTGGAAAAAGGGTCCTATTCTTCTCCATGAGTATATAATACAAAGCTGGATTCTTACATGTTCATGCTAAGACTTGTTTAAATAACTGGAACAGTTGGCTTTGTACACACTGTATTAGGTGGCTCCTGGTCTCTCTGCTCTGTGCCTATCACATACTACTATCTTCTGTATGAATCTCAAAAGTAGGAAATAGGAAACCTCAGGTACCATTATGAGCCCAGGATTGCCCAGGTTTGCTGGTGTTTGGCAAGGCTACTGTGAATGCAATAGCAAAAAGGAACTGGTACATCTTCCAAGGTGGTAGGCAAGGAGAGACTATAACCCTAGGATGGAAAAATTGTAGTGTGCAATTTATTTCAAAATAAAAGTCCGATGTAGACAGAAGGCTGTCTCCAAAGGTGTGAATACTGCACTTTTGTTAGCTATGTTTTAGAAAAACCTTTTATTAGGTCTGAGTCCAGCTTCTTTTGAAAAGGTAAAGACTTATCTTCTTCTCTACCCAGTTTTGACTACAAAAATATTTTTTCATGTACAAAAATCATCAGATTAGGTATACACGATCTATACATGGTGATCCCAGACCACCAGATATCCCTTGTGCTATGTTTCTCCTATATATTTTAAACCCCTCCCATTCCTATACTCTTCTTCTAGTGCCTTTGTTGTTGTTGTTGTTTAGTCGTTTAGTCGTGTCCAACTCTTTGTGATCCCATGGACCAGAGCACGCCAGGCCCTCCTGTCTTCCACTGCCTCCCGGAGTTGGGTTAAATTCATGTTGGTCGCTTCTAGTGCTTATGTGCTATTTAATATTAATAAATAAATGCTCAATTGCAGGATTTTCTCTCTCTTGAACTTTGGGATCACCTGAACAGTTATATTCTATAACTCAATGCTATGTTGATTTATAAAATATCAGTTGCTGGTTGGTTGCCATTTCATGTACTACTGCAATGTTCTCAGAGGCTTGGTTGTGTGAATCATGTTGTGAATCAAATCGGTGTGGTGGTATCCTGTATCCAGAGTTTCAAAATGCATGTCCTTAAACTGTGGTGTCTCAGATCCAGTTGAACCAAACTTATTCCACAAACCATGAACATCAAAGGCTGTCCTGCTACACCTTAACTATATCTAATTCTACTCTTGCATTTCTTCATATAAAAATACACAAAAAGCCGTTGTATTCAGGAGAAACAAAGAGAGTTGGAGAGCCTAGGAAAAGGCAGACACAGGGTGAAATCTGGAGCCGTCCCTACACCCAGGAAGCCTTTGGGCTTGTCTTCTTCTGATACAAGCCTTCTGTGTCATATGTCACATCCCATCTGAAACTGAGAGAACTTTCCAAAACAACTTAGATATACAGCGTAGGGACTGGCTGTTTGAAAAGGGCTAAATTAATACACAACTCAACAATTCTTAGGGTGTGCCTCAGAATTTGGGCATGGCTGAAGAAGCTCAGTCCCAGAACACCATAGGGAAGAGCATCTGACAATCCACTTCTGAGTACCACTGGTAGAGTCCCCATGTATTGACATGACAGTACATATTTATCATTAGTATAAAGAAACAAACATTTTATCAGGTTCAAACTATATATGAAAACATTAGATCTCTCTGTGTTTGCCCAAGATGATATAACACACGGGCAACAGCCCAGTTTTAACAGCAAAAGGGTGAGCGAGAAACAAACCTGGTTCACTCCGCTGCTATGGCATTTTCAAATGGGCAGCATGGAAGGCAATGAATGGTTGTGCCATTTTTCTTACCTTTTTATTAGTTCCTCCCATCCTCTTGTTGATGACTTACTCCATAGCAAGTTTGGATGCCAATGTTAATTTTAAACTCTGATTATTCCTCTGTGGTATCCTTGGAATTAGTCCCCTTGAGGAATGTTAAGAACCTTACCTTCTAGTTAAAACAGTGCCAAGTGGAAATCAGATGAAAGGGCAAGGGAATAGCTGCAGATCAATGGTGTAGGCATGGGAAGGTATTGTGGCCTTTCCATGCACTTCCCTGTTGAGATTCTTATGTGAAGATTCAAAAATGCAGTTTAATAAAAATACAGAAATTGGGCTTCCAGTGGGTGTGGCCAGCAAAAGTGGCAAGATTCTGATCGTGAGGGTCTTTTTTAAAATATTTTTTATTTTAAAAATTTTTTTATTTTATTCTTCAGAACAAAAATAAATACAAAAGTGCAAAATACTTACTACACAATCTAAACTACCGTGCATCCCATACCCACGGGACCCCTTAGAACAATACTTTGAATACGATCTTCCTTTCCAAAAATGTATTGATTGTTGTTTAGAGGCTTTCCCCTTTCCTTTCACTAGTACAAATTCAACAAATCTACCCTAAACAGCATAAAAATATTTGAGCTTATTTCCCCTCTTTTTATCTTAAGATCAGTGGTTAATTTATCATTTAATGCAATGTCCCATACTTCATTATACCAATTTTCTAATTTAATGTCATTTTTGTCTTTCCAAAATCTAGCTATTAATATTTTAGCACTTGTCATAAAATTGGAAATCAATTCCTTCAAACAAGAATTAAGTTCTATCTTATCAAAAATTGACAACAAAGCAATTTTAGAATTGAATTCAATATCTTTTCCAAATATATCACATATTTCCTTAAAAATCAGTTTCATTCTGTGGAAAGTGATCCAAGTCTGTGTATCAGAGAGGGCAAGCAATGAGCCCCTCAGGTGTCATCATTTCAGTCTTCCTCAGAAAAGGAGTCTTGACCCATCTGGCAGCAACCAGCACAGCGGCAATGGCGAAGCACGCACTAACAGCATTTTCATCTTGTTTGGATTGAGTTTCAATTTATTAACCCTCATCCAGTCCATTATCAGGTCCAGACACGAGTTCAGCACAGAGACTGCCTCACCTGGATTGGTAGAAAACGAGAAGTAGAGCTGAGTGTCGTCAGCATATTGCTGACTCCTCAGCCCAAACCTCCTGATGACCTCTCCCAGCAGTTCCATGTATATGTTAAATAGCATGGGGGACAGTATCGAGCCCTGAGGAACTCCATGACATAAATGCCATGGGACAGAGCAATTGTCCCCCAGCACCACCCTCTGGACACAGTCAGCCAGGAAGGAGTGGAACTAGTGTATAGTGGTCCCCCCACCTCCCAACCCAGCCAGCCTATCCAGAAGGACTCCATAGTCAATGGTGTTGAAAGCCACTGAGAGGTCAAGAAGTATCAACAGGGTCACACTCGCCCGTCTCCCAACCCACTGCGAATCTGAGTGATTTTTCCCTCAAAATGCATGGCAAACTCATCACAGTGAGTTGATGAGCAGTCCAGGACCTCCACTGGATTTCCTGGTTGAAGAAGATCCCAGACCACCCGAAACAGCTCTGCTGGATGACATTCTGAGGATGATGGCTGGAGAAATAATGCCATTTCGCCAGCCGTATTGCCACAAAATAGCCCCAATAATGGGCTCTAAGTCGTGTTCCAATGGGCTCCCAGAAGGATTTCCTCCACCTGTGCTCCAGCCGTCTCCCCTCTTGCTTCATCACCCACAGTTCAGAAGTATACCAGGGAGCTGTCTGGGCTCTGTGTGCAGGGAGAGGGTGCTTAGGCACAATCGTGTCAACCGTCCGGGTCATCTCCCTATTCCATTGACAGGAGTGCCGACCATATCAGACAGATAACCCCCCAGAGCATTCAGGAAACCATCAGGATCCATTAGTCTCAGAGGACGGATCATCTTAATAGATCTTAAGTTTAGTCAATAGACTAAACTTGACCAGGAAGTGGTCTGACCATGACAATGGGATCACAACCAACTCTTCCACTTCCAAACCACTGTCTTCCAGTCCCATTGAGAAAACCAGGTCCAAGGTATGGCCCTTCTCATGTGTCGGGCCAATGATACATGGTTGTCATGGACGTCATGAAGTCCTGAGCCGCCCCAGTCAAGGCAGCCTTGGCATGGATGTTGAGGTCCCCCAGCAACAACAGCCTGGGAGTCCTCAACACCAGGTCTGAGACTACATCCATCAGCTCAGGCAGGGAGAAAATTGTGGTAAAATTGGGTGCTTCAGCTTATATTCAGGTCGGCTTATTCTCGAGTATATATGGTATATTGTTTTGTTTCTCTACTGGTGAGTCTTAGACAAGGACATCATTTTATAGACAATTGGCACACAGAGATGTGAATATTCTCCACATGACCATTAGCAGCAACAGATTAAAGTGACAAATGCACTCCACAATAAAAGTAATCGAATCACTGCACTGTGTTATTGTTTCAAACATCCCCTCCTTTGTAATGAATATTCCACATTTTATATTTTGATGTCTCCAACCAAATGTAGGAATCAGTCTATGAGGGGCTCTGTGATGGCAACAATTAGTGTATTTCCCCTTTCTGTTGTGGATGAAATGTCTTATATTCTTTGGTACACAGAAGAGGTGTTTCCCTTTTGCAATCTGGCTGTGAAATCACATAACAGCCAAATTCCAGATTTGTCTGAAACTGAGACAGATCAGTAAGACATGAATACTCAAGCACATTTCAATATCATGAACCATACAAACATAGTTAATTCCAGCTGATGTCAGTGGGACAGAATTAACCTTATTGAATGGTGCTTCACTATAGGGTGTTTTTGAGGACTTGTGTGGACTGCGCTCTGTTTTGCTTTGAGGCATCCTCTGTCACAGTCCATGCCAGTGAAAATTTCTAAGTGAGAGGATTGCATTAAGTGATCTTAAATACTGTGGTCTTGTATACTCTTATGTAAAAAAGCAGAAAGACCCACTCTAATTAATCCCATGCATAGAAGGAACCATTTTTGACAGTATGTCCACAGCTTGCAATAACATTTCAGCACCATATAGGATATGACTACTTGGCATATTTTCTTGGAGGCAAAGTCCATGGTGTCCACTGAGGAGTTGTTATAAGGTATATGTGTCAAGAATTCCAACCTGAATGTATGGAAGTATATTCCTATGTATATTGACTGATAGGTAAGCCTTACTGAATTCAGTGGGAGGCAGTTATGGTTAAATGGGTATACAAATTGCAGCTTGATGTTTTTCTTACAATGTATACAATTTATTGGAAATCTCTTGTTCCACTTTTGTTGTGTAAAGTGACTTTGATTTCTCAAATAAAATTTTGAACAGCTACAGAAATTGAAAAAGCCTCAGGGAAACAATACAGAAAAAGTCCCAAAAGTTCTTCCATGTCTTTATAAATAGCATTTGACGAAAACTCAGAAATCATTCAAGCGCATAGAAATTATAGGAAGTGTGATCCTGATGAGATTAAGCTTTTTAAAGTATCAGTGGTTTCAGGGCGAGAGAGTTAACAGTGTAATTGACATTCCTGATGAAAGTGAAGGGGAGGAAAAATCATTAACAATGGCTACATCACATTCTACCATGTTTATCTAGAAACAGGTCATGATTTTTATATATAGGCACATATATGTTCAGTGCAGTAGATACTGCTTACAATGGGAAGCCAGCATGTATAACCAATATAATACATTAGAATCAAAGCTCTGTTTTGGTTTCAAGGGACATTAGATTCAAGGACTGTAATTTTTCAATTGGTATTTAAAAGAAAAGAGTTTCCCATGTTATGTTTCAAAGAATGATATGATTGATGGTTGTTGTGGGTTTCTCTTTTTGGCCGTGTTCTGAAGGTTGTTCTTCCTAACATGAAATTCTATTTCAAAATACTGAAATACTGGGCAACACCAGCAATCATTACATCAGATTACACAAGGAAGCCATTGAAATCCACAAGCACCAGCAGAACTTCAACAAAAAAGAGGAAAGTTTGAAACTCAACAAAACTTGGCTTCCAGCTCTGAAAAATACAGTGTGCAAAGGTCAATGACCTTTACCCAGCCACAAGGACCGGGGATCACTACACACAAAAGACCAGCTAATGACACCCATCAATCATAGTGACAGATAATCTCTGCTCCTTATCACTACACCCACAACAAGACACACTAATCACCCATCTCCTGAATAGGACAAAAGCCTATCTCATAGCCATAAATACTCCACTCCCAAGCCAACTACACCAGAGCATAGGTTGCTGTCCTCTGAAGATGCTGGCTACAGAGACTGGCGAAATGTTAGGAAGAACAACCTTCAGAAAACTGCAAAAGAATCCTAAAAACCCACAACAACCATTAGATCATGCAATGAAAGCCTTCATGAATACAATGATATGATTGTCAAAAGAAAGAGGCCTGGAAAAACAATAATTACTTAGGTCAATGAATTTCATTGCTTTCACCTATTACTTTCCCCCCAAGATTTTCCAGAACGCTTCTTTCACATCCTTGTTCCTCAGGCTGTAGATTATTGGATTCAGCATGGGTGTTAAAATGCCATAGAGTACAGGTAAGACTCGATACTGCTCTTGGGAATAAGTAGAATTGGGGCGTAGGTATGTAAAGAGGATGGTGTTAAAACAGATATTGACAACAGCCAGGTGAGAGGCACAGGTGGAAAATGCCTTGCAACGCCCTTCCTTAGTACGGATCCTGAGGATGGCCACAACTATGTAGACATATGACACCAAAGTAACCAGAAATGGGCCCATGACCATTGTTCCTCCCACCACAAATATACAAATTTGATTGGGCAGGGTATCAGAGCAAGAGAGCTGGAGTAGAGGTGGAAGATCACAGAAAAAGTGCTGGATGACATTGTCTCTGCAGAAGGACAAACGAGTTATCATACCTGCATGAACACCTGAGTGAGACAAGCCCAGAATCCAAGAGGCTCCTGCAAGAGATGCACAGATTTTGGGGCTCATGAGTACATTGTAGTGGAGTGGATGGCAAATAGCTGCATAGCGGTCATATGCCATGACACCAAGCAGAAGGCACTCAACTCCACCAAAGGAGATGAAGAAATACATTTGGGAGAGGCAGCCTGCTAGGGAGATTCTCTTGTCCTGAGAGAGGTAATTCATCAGCATTTTGGGCACGGTGGAAGTGATGTACCCAATGTCTATCACGGAGAGATTGCCCAAGAAGAAATACATGGGATTGTGGAGTCTTTTATCCAAACTGATAGCAAGAAGGATGAGACCGTTCCCCACCAAGGCCACCAAATAAAGGATGAGAAAAAGAGTAAAGAGAAGCATCTGGGCCCCAGGGTCACTGGACAGTCCCAAGAGTATAAATTCTGTGATATCCGTCTCATTCTTCATTATATGATGTGATGACTCTGCCTCTTAGGAAACATCGATAGAACATTTTTGAACTGTTTTTCCATCCCAAAGTGGAGATCTAAAGAAACCAGGATTTAGTCAAAAGCAAGCAAAGCAAAGGCTTTGAGGAACAGTGACTTGTAATTGTCTGCTATATTATATCCTGTGCTAATGCAAATGAGTTGAAGCTGAGGCTGGGAAAAACTAATGGCCAAAGGGGTCCCGCAGATGCCATTTTGTTACTCTCCCCTTTTATTTCCTGAGTGTATGCGAGACCTGGGAGGAAACTGTAGTCCTGGCTCCAGAACCTGTTTGCAACCTTAGCTCATAGCACACCAGTTAAGCTAAGAGTCAGATGTGCTCTCCAGGAGCTAAAAATCAAAAAAGCCATTCACTTTCTTCTGAAGATGCCAGCCATAGAGACTGGTGAAATGTTAGGAAGAACAACCTTCAGAACATGGCCATAGAGCCCGAAAACCCCACAACAACCATTAGATCCTGGCCGTGAAAGCCTTCGCGAATACATACCATTCACTTTTCCTTGCATAACAGCCCTGTAAGGTAAAAACTGAATGGGTATTCATAGGAAACTCATTTCTCATTCTCAGATATCTCAGACTGAAATCTTGAATGATGATAATAATGTGATTTTTGGGGGGCAAATGAACACAATTAATACTAACACATTTTGTCCATTTAAGAGGTAGAGAGGTAAGGAACAAAAATAACTATAAACACAGCATTTCAGTTAGAAATTTACCTGCTGTGTGGTGTTGTAGTGTTTTATTTCACTGCAGACAATAATCCATTCTGGAGCCTCATGGAAAAATAACTTGATACCAAAAAGTCTTCTTAAATCATTAACATCAATACCAGCTACCATTCTGGCTCAGCCTTCTGCAAGTCACAACGTCAAATGACTGGCATTTCAGGCTAGGCAAATATACCAGTGATATATTCCTAGGAGAAATATGCACTGCATGAATCTTTTAACTAGAGCCGCTTCTGGGATTTGTTAAAAAAAGTAACAGTTGGCAACATCTTGTTGCTGAGTGTAGTAAATTGGAACTAGAATAGACTCACCAGGTCAACCAAAAGAGGTTCTTCTTGGCATTAGGAGTGTCTCATCATCATCCAAATATTATTCACAGGAAATTATCGGTAATCTTTTGCACAGAGGAGCCTTTTTCTTTCACCTGAGTATCATGGGCTCAACCTTGTCCCTCCTGAATGTCTCTTGTGCCCACATTTTCTTTCTTTGTTTTTTCTTTAAAAAACATACAATTTCCTCTGGGGCTAACTTAATTTTTGGCCTGGAGACAAGAAGAATACATAGTCTCTTGGTGGAAGAGAAAGAATTTCATAATGAACCATATCTATGGATTTCAAGGCAGTTAGAGTTGAAGGCTCTAGGCTTGCAATTTGTCTAAAATATCAAAAATTGTTTATTGGTCTAGATTCCACTTCCCGGAAACGACTAATGATGTCCAGAAGCTTGAATCCTTCCATCTCTGGATGTTTCTGGAAGCTGTGCCGGTGATTGATTTGTGTGAAACTAGCTGAGGGTTTTCCCTTTATTTATGTTTATTGAATATGCACATGAACAACTCTTCCTTCTTCTCTACCTCCCCAGAAAATGGATAGGTTCTGCCTCAAGGACTGTAAGAGTCCTAAATGTATCACTTCTTTATACTATGGCTAGGCGGTCACAACTGATGAAAGAATAACCTTGAGCATCATCTCAACCTGTCAGGCCCCGTGTTGCTTGGAGATACTGCCATGTCATCATTTCCCCCTCTTCCTGTTCATTCATGGTGACACCACTTGGAAGGAAGCTCTCCGTTTCAGGTGTTACTCCCTTACCTGTGGTTCAAGCGATAACACTAAACCTATAGTTTAATACTTGACTTCCTCCTACTCATGTATCCTCCTTGCCACCCACATCATGGGTATTCTTCCCTTCATCCCGGACATTTCCATCTGCTTTTATTTGCATGGTGAGACCACTATGGGGAATGGGGAATACCTTGTGGCTGGAGGTAGAGCACAAAGGTCAGGGTCTTGTTTCAAATTCACAGTGATCACTGGATGATGTTTACGTGCTTTGAGACAGCAAGTGTTATTGAGAATCTTCTGACCCAGAACCACCAGCCTGTATCCTGAGTGAAGGTATCTGGAATCCCAGTGCAGTGGCTGATCCAGGTCCACATAATATTTCCCATCTGCATCTAGAGGACCTCACACGGCTTCATGCAAATTTCCTGGATACTGATGCTCATCAGGGCTTCTACATCCTAACTGCTGTTTTGTAGATGAAGCTATCTGATGAATTCTCATGCACCTCTTTGCTGTGCATCACCATGGATGTATTGCTTGCCCCTCGTTGTGTATCTACTCTATAGGTCTCTGCGTTTCCCTTCACTGATGCCTTGCAGAGCTCTTTGCTGACTGGCTGACCCATCATGTGATTCATAGCTGTCTTTTCATGTGACTTTGCTTGCTAACTAGGCATTTCAGAGACTGACAGGTGCTCACTAGACCCAGTTAGCTCACTTCCGGCACCTCCTTAACTAATCTTCCAGTCCCGGCTGTAGCTCAGACTTTGCTTCCTTGCTCTCTTGACTGATCACCGATTCAGACAAAAGGGAGGGTTAGAGAAGTCTGTGCTCTTGCACGTGACTGGTAGATTAGCCAAGGAAGTAGAAAAAACACATAAACTGGACATGGAGAATGGATAGATTGGCTGAGGAGGCTGGGGAGAGGAGCACCACCACTGCCTGTGTTTGTCTCTTTACAAACTAGAACAAACTGGTATGAACCAGTGCATGCCCATCTCTATAAATAGGGTTGAAAAGCTCCAGTTTGGTTTTGGGGAACATGAGGTACAAGGACTATGATTTTTAAATTAACACTTGAAAGAAAAAGCAATTTTCCATTTTCCATCCCTAACAATGATATGATCATCAAAAGAAAGGACATGGAGAATGGATAGATTGGCTGAGGATAACAATGATATGATCATCAAATGAAAAAGGTTGAGAAAGCCAAGGATTCCCAAGGTTACTGAAATTTGTTGCTTTCTCCCATTACTTTTTTCCGAAAATTTTCTGGAGCACCCCTTGCACATCCTTGTTCCTCAGGCTGTAGATTATTGGATTCAGCATAGGTGTTAAAATGCCATAGAGTACAGGTAATACCCTATCCTGCTCTTGGGAATAAGTAGTGTTGGGGCGTATATATGTAAAGATGATGGTGCCAAAATAGATGTTGACAACAGTCAGGTGAGAAGCACAGGTGGAAAATGCCTTGCTACGCCCTTCCTTAGTACGGATCCTGAGGATGGCCACAACTATGTAGACATATGACACCAAAGTAACCAGAAAGGAGCCCATGATCACTCCTCCACCCACCACAAAGGTAGCAATTTGGTTGGGCATGGTATCAGAGCAAGAGAGCTGGAAGAGAGGTGGGATATCACAGAAAAAATGCTGGATTATATTGTTCTTGCAGAAGGACAAACGAGACATCATGCCTGCATGAACACCTGAGTTAGACAAGCCCAGAATCCAAGAAGCTCCTGCAAGAGATGCACAGATTTTGGGGCTCATGAGTACATTGTAGTGGAGTGGATGGCAAATAGCTGCATAGCGGTCATATGCCATGACACCAAGCAGAAGGCACTCAACTCCACCAAAGGAGATGAAGAAATACATTTGGGAGAGGCAGCCTGCTAGGGAGATTCTCTTGTCCTGAGAGAGGTAATTCATCAGCATTTTGGGCACGGTGGAAGTGGTGTACCCAATGTCTACCACAGAGAGATTACCCAGGAAGAAATACATGGGATTGTGAAGTCTTCTGTCCAAATTGATAATGAGAAGGATGAGAACATTTCCCGCCAAGGCCACCAAATAAAAGATTAGAAAGAGAGTAAAGAGAAGCATCTGGGCCTCAGGGTTACTGGAGAGTCCCAAGAGTATAAATTCTGTGATAGCCGTCTCATTCTTCATTATATGATGTGAGAATTCCACCTATTAGGAAATGTGAAGAGAAATTTTTTGAATGTTTGCTTTACAAAAAAGCCAAGACTCAGCCACAAGAAAACAAGCACAAGAGTTATTACAACAGTGCAGTTCTGCTTGAAAGATCTGAAATGGCTACAGTTTCTCTGTCTCTACCTCTTCTTCACCCTCTCCTCAGACCTCCTTTCTCACCGAAAAATGACTTCCATTCCCACCATAAATCCATTGATCCCGGTAGTATAGGATTCCTTGATCTCACCCTTCACGCTTGTTGCTCTTTTCCCTTCAGGTCCACTAAGAGAGCACCTTCTTGAGTCCATTCCACAAGAAAACTGTTGAACTGAAAACTATGTACAGTGGTGCCTTGCTAGACAATGATAATCACTGAAATTGCTGTTTAGCTAAATCATTGTCTAGCAAAAAGGATTTTCCCAGTGGAATGCATTGATACCTGTCCAATGGGGAAGAATTGTCGTTGTCTAGCGAAGATTGACCATAGAAAAGCCGCTTTGCGAACTGCCAATCAGCTGTTTAAATCGCTGTCTTGCGAAGCTTAGGTCCCAAAAACACCTGTTTTGTGAGCGTGGTGGGAGCTGTCAAAATCGTTGTCTAGCGAAAATCGGTTTGCGAAGCAGGGACCAAACATTGTCCAGCGAAATTCCCCCATAGGAATCGCTGTTTTGCGAATCACTATAGTGATCACAAAAAGTCAATGTCTAGCGAAAAAACTGTCATGCTGGGTAACTGTCTAGCGAGGCATCACTGTACTAGGAGACTGCAATCATGTATGGTTACTAGCACCTAGACTGTGTAGAGCGGCAGGCGGAGCCAGAGTTCAGTGTGCCACAGTTGCTATATTTAACATCACAATGTTTAAGGGTGGTGATGCTATTAGGGTGCTATGCAGAAGCTAGTGGGGTGCTATGGCCAGGGGACAGCTCTATCCCACCTCCAAAAAAGAGAGACCACCTCTTTCCCTCTCCTGGTATGCTGTTTCATTTGGAGAAACAGAACACAGGTCAAAGTGGTCAACAGCAGTTATGTGTCAGAAATCCATGCCTGGTCATTACTCCCCTTGGTGATTTCAACGGTCTGCTCATCATGTACCTGAGAGCTTGAAGCATTTTTGAGAGGGGGACATCCAGATGAAGGCATTGACCTGCATCTTGTGGTTGTCTCATATGTACAAAACAGGCAGGTAAATGACTGGAAGAAGAAACAAGTTTGTTCATCTCTTTCTCAATCTCTCCCACTCCCCACACATAAACCCAAAGGGGGACATGTATTGAGAAGGAGTGTCTTGAGAGCCAACCTATATGGAAAATAATAGCAAACAAGGTATGCAACTAAAAATGGGTGTTCCTCCCACAAGGCTACTTCCGCAACTGTGGCTGCAAGGGCGGGAGCACTTTGCCTAGCCACCCGGATGGGGTGCACACAGATAAAGCTACAGTGGCTGGTAGGGCCAAGGCAAAGCTTGCCTTTAAAAGAAGAGCTTGCCCCTGCTTCAGCCTCTTCTCCTTGGAAC